ACTTTTATCTTGATTTTTGAGGGTCAAATTACAGCAAAAAATTATAGAGTAAATTAGAGTAAATGAATAATGAAATTAAATTTATAATTTTTATCTTTTGATTTTTTACCGTAAAATTACAGCAAACATTATAAAGTAAATGAATTTTAAATGAATTTCATTATTCATTTACTCTACTTTATCATTTTTTATGTAATTTTACACTAAAAAAATTTAAAATATAAAAATGAGAAATAATAATTTACTCATTACTCCATAATTTTTACTGTAATTTTACACTCACAAATCAAAAGATAAAAATGGTTTATTTAATTTCATTATTCATTTACTCTACATTTCTCACTTTTATCTTGATTTTTGAGTGTAAAATTACAACAAAAAATTATAGAGTAAATTAGAGTAAATTAATAATGAAATGAAATGTATAATTTTTATCTTTTAAATTTTCACAGTAAAATTGCAGCATAAATTATAAAGTAAATGAATTTCATTATTCATTTACTCTACTTTATAATTTTTGATGTAATTTTACACTCAAAAATTTTAATATAAAAATGAGAAATAATAATTTACTCATTACTCCATAATTTTTACTGTAATTTTGCACTCAGTATTGAGTCTGCATGCTTTGCTCTGCTCAGATGTTGACGAGTGTGTGACGGGTCAAGCCAAGTGTGCGAGGTTCCGTAAGTGTGTGAACACGTTCGGCAGCTTCGTCTGCAGGTGTCATGAGGGCTTTGAGCTGAAGCACATCGACGGGAAGTATCGCTGCACAGGTGTGTTTAGAGAAACACACATTACACTGTACTAAAGGCATCACACACTCTAAACTTCAGTTTCTCCAGATAAGAAGATTTCCTCTGTTTGCCGTGACAAGCCAGGACACCGGAAATGCAAATGCACACCCGGTGTTAATGGCAAGGGTTACGACTGCAAATGTACGTGAGTGTGATCTTACAGTAATTCACCACGCAATCGAGTGATAATATTTTCATCCTTCCCTCGGGTCGTTTTGACCCGAAACTCAAAAAATTGAGTGTGAGGTGTCCAAGACCCAGGACTTTTGTTGCACTTTGAATACACACAACATTTTTTTAATGGATTCGAGGAGTTTTTGTGGTTAAAATTTTAAAAAGTAGCACATCCTTCTCTCGCGGGTCGAGTTGACCCCTTAGGAATGAATGGAATGCGAGGAATGCTTCAGGACAGATAGAAAATGCTCAAAATTCAAACAAAAAATGCTAAAACTTTACCCCAAAAAAATCATTTTATAGTGTCTACATGTGTATCTGAATGCAGACTGAAGAGAAACTGGCTTTAGGACCCAGCGGAACAGCTCCTCTGCTCCATATAGAGTGCTGTAAAGTCCATCTAGAGTCATGAAATATCATGTGTTATTATTAATTTCCCACAAAAGGTCGGAAAAGACTCCCAATGTAAGATATTTAGAGCTGAATTAAAAGGGTTATGCATGAAATTGTGAGATATTTTGAATTTAAGTTGAAAGAATGTGAGGAATGTGCTTAAATGACTATTTATTTATTATTTATTGATCAAATCTAGTAATTTAAAGGCAAATAAAATATAAAATAACCCAAAATTGCATTCAAAAATAGAAAAGATATTATCAAAATGAAATAAAATAAGCTTTCTGGACAAACATTTTTTTGCGATAATTTTAGGGCTTCGGGTGATTTTGACCCGCGAGGGAAAGATGTGTAACAGAGTGTGAGGGAAGGATGAGGGTTAAGTGATGCTGTGTGTTTTTTTTAGCTGTTGTTAAAGTCACAATTGAACCTGCGAGACCAGTGAAAGTCACAGCCAGTCCGACCACCGTCGATACGGCAACAACTCCCATGACAACCACCAAGGAAAAAACCACAACAACAACAACAACCATAGCAATTCCCACCACTATCGTCACCACAGAAACTTCAGTTCCAACAAGCAATGCTGTTACAAAAGTAACAACAACTACTGTTGCTATGACAACGACGGAATCTACAACTACAACAGCCCTGACAACAGCCCTGACAACAGCGGAATCTACAACTACAACAGCCCCGACAACAACGGAATCTACAACTACAAGCGCCCCGACAACAACGGAATCTACAACTACAAGCGCCCCGACAACAGCCCTGACAACAACGGAATCTACAACTACAACAGCCCCGACAACAGCCCTGACAACAACGGAATCTACAACTACAACAGCCCCGACAACAGCCCTGACAACAACGGAATCTACAACTACAACAGCCCTGACAACAACGGAATCTACAACTACAACAGCCCCGACAACAGCCCTGACAACAACGGAATCTACAACTACAACAGCCCTGACAACAACGGAATCTTCAACTACAACAGCCCCGACAACAGCCCTGACAACAATGGAATCTACAACTACAACAGCCCCGACAACAACGGAATCTACAACTACAACAGCCCCGGCAACAACGACCACAAGTCCCATGGTAACCACAACAGCACCAGC